CCCCAAAACCCCAAAACCCCACGATGAATTTAAGGACTGGTTAACATAAACTTCTAAATTAATTAATACTAGTTATTGATATTTTAATGTCATTCATTTATTAAATTTTTTACTTTTTAGGCTCCTTTGATAGTCATAATTGAACTGACTCGACTAATCAAATTAATTTAAGTACTTCTAAGTTTATTAATTAAAAAGCTCTTACTCTGCTTTAGAGGTTTAGTTTAAAATTTCATTAGTAGTTTAATTTGTCTAGGTCAAATCCTTCATTTGATACTTTCTCTATCTCTTAGTTTTCTATTTAAATCTGTGTCTTTTGACTGAGATGAGAGTTTACTTAATCATGTCTACAGTTACAATTGAAATGTTAATAATCAAGTATAATATAGTGAATAATATAGGTAGTGATCCAATAGCCTATCTTGTATCATAATTCAAATCAAAATGGCAAACAAATGGAATGAATGTATACGTAATAATCAAGAAGATGAATTCATTTAAAATCGCAATATTTTATCTTTTAGTATCGATATAAGGCTTCGCTTATATGAAGTATGCTAATATAGCTAAAGTCATAATGGGGTGTAAAACACTCTAAATTTGCTAAAATTCTTGAAGAGAAATCATAATTAAACAGTAGAATAAACGTCTGTAGCTATACATAATCCAGAAAAACTAAATCAATTGACTTTCTTATACCCTTAAGCCCTCATAAAATATTGACACACTTTTAAAATCTTCTGATTCTTGCTCTACAAAAATTATGATATTTGAAACTTACTTAATTTTGCCAGCTATTTAATAAGAAATAGCGAAATTATAGGCAGCACTATTTAAATAGCTACGATTATTAAAGACATAAAGTCTTAGAAAAAATCTTTGAAATCACTGGTTTGATACTATTTCAATTTAAATTTTACCTCAAATTCTTACCATGTTTATATTAACTAAACTGCATAGTATCAATTCTAACTAAGCTTCTATCATATATCTTAATATTTGATTGTATAATAATTTTTCCTTAATATTCTTCATCAATTTACTATATTAAATGAATAGAAGTTAATTACCTTTTCTTGTCTAGCTTTAAAAATTTAATGCATAATCCTATCAAGAAAACAAAAATATTCCCAATTAAAAGATAGAACATTAATCCAAGATTTGAATACAACTTATATGATTAATATTTCATGAATTCGAATTAGGCATTGAAAGATTAATCTTCATTTTCATCATTTGAGCTGAATACTTTGCTATTTACATCATCAATAGGTATTAGATTAAAGCTAGATATTTCGTTGATTATGCTAAAGAATGCAAGTGTATTTGATGGAACAGTAAGAGTCATCAAAGGTAAATGAGTAATCAATTGAAATCCTTCGACTAGTCCCCATAAAAATTAGGCCCCTTAACCACTATATATGTATCTTGTGTTAAAAATTTTGATTTTTACAGTAAGAGATTTAATAGCATGTTTGTTCCAATAATTGCAGATAGAGAAATCAAAACTGATTAACTGAGGCTTTCAATAAACTACTAGGAAGAATGCCTAATTTATGGAGGAATATTCTTCTCTAGAGTATAATCTTTTGATAATTTTTTATTAAAATCTGAGGAAACAAAAGCTAAATTCTAAATAAAGTGTGCTTATATTTTATCTATCTATAATTGTCAAATGAACTAAATTTACTTTAGCGATTGATATTTAATCAGGGAAGATATCATCCTCAATAAGTTGTAATTCAAGCTTATTACCTTTGTAATTGATAGCAATAAAATTAAGAGATTCCATTTTAGATTCACTTATAATGAGATATAACTTAAGATATTTCTGCATATCACTCAATATAGATTTCGGTATGTACATTTTTTGCTCAAATCTCAGTTAGATGTAGCCTGTCTATGTAATTTGAGTGTATTTTGCTTTAAGATTATCCTAAGCATCTTTAGCCTTCTCTAAATTTTAGAGAGATTCAAATAATTAACTTGTATCATTATTCCTTGAATTTACCTTCAAATCTAATGTGTATTAATTAGATATTTGCTAGTATTCTGGATCAAGCAATTCTATTAAAATTTGATAACTACCCGCTTAATCATTTGTCAGAGGATTGATGGTAAAATCACCTCCATCATAATTGATAAAACTATGCATCTTATTTTCGGAATATCAAATTTTCACTACGAAATTATCACCCTCATCATCTTTTATTTATGGCAATGTATATATTTAAAGTTAGCCCACAAAAATTTCTAATTTTTTGAGATTTTTAACGAAATAAGCTGGGCTATTGTTAACTTGACTCTTAAGAAATAGTATTTTAAATTTGCAAGACTATTCCAATAATGTCATGTCGGATATTTATGTTGCTGACACTTTAAATATTATTTCTATTGACTATCTCTCAAAACCAACGTTCTCTGTACTAACAGAGAATATCAAAAGGTCTTAATCAAAAGATAGGAATTACTGGTGTAGATCATTATCAGAAGATATTTAATATGAAATTTTATCAATACACGCAAGGGAGCTGAATAAAATTGGGAAAAAACTAAATTTTAAAGGCTATTCTCCAATGCTATATTATTAATTAGATATACTTATCTAGTTCAATATACTAACAGGCTAAGCACATGGATTAAAAGATCTCATTATAAAATTAAAACTAGCGTCTTAATGAACAACGAATTCCATATTGTTGAGCAAAAATTATGCTCGAACATAGAATTAGTATGTTATATCTAGATTTATCATGATGGCTTAGAATTCAACCTCTGTATAAGATATAAAATGGGAATTGCTTAAAGTTAAAACAGGTGTATATAAAGGATTAGGATTTCCAAATTGCATCAGATCTAATTTGATTTCATACAAATCAGAACATCGAGATAATTAGTAGGTACCAACATTTAAAAGGCAAGTTTCACCATTGTAGCAAACATAAGATTACTTTAAAGTAGAATGAGGTGTAAAGATGATTTCAAGTTAACTAGTGGTTTAGCAGTATGTTTGAGAAGGAATTAAAGAAAATTACTGCTATGTAAGATACTAATTATTAAGAGTCATTGGGTTTGTAGTTGCAATAATTGTTAAAGTAGAGGAAGAAGGATCATAATTTAGAAAACTTTGAGTGTAAGCTGCCGTTGTATGACCTGCATAAAAATAGTGGTCGATTGTAAAAGATTAAACCGGTGAGCCATCATTAATTATTTCGAAGCAACTAAATGTTGATGTATCATGAAAGGTACCAACTGTTCCATATTATATGGATAATGGAGAAATGATCTGGCCTGCCCAAAAGAAAACACCGTTTAAGTATATAAAGCTTTAAAGGTAAGCCTGATAATTATTGGGAAGAGTGAGATCTAAGCTAGTGAAACTTACCATAGCCATTTATCCAAAGTTAGCTGAAGAAATTTACATAAGATATTGCTTATAATCAACATCCTAATAAAAGAATATATACAAAATTGACGAAATGTAAAATATCCCGTTGCACATCAATCTTTTTGTAGAACCTGAAGTGTAATATGAAAAGCTTATATACAGATTTCCTTTGTATTGCACTGAGAATCCCAAATTGTAGTTAGCTGATAATGATTCAAGGCTTGCATGCATACAAGAGAATAAATATGTATTAGCTGAGGTATCATCTAGAAGCATTCGATATCTATGATGATTTTGCATATCATTAGAAATATCCTAAAAGACTCAGTAGTCTTTCCAGACTTATAGACTTCCATTTAAATCTGTAATGAAGAATGCTTGATATATTTGCATTGCATCGATGAGTGTTCCAGCTATAAACAATCTATTCATTGCTATAGTATCAAATATGATAGACGTTAGGTAGGTTTAAGCTGCTCCGAAACTTAGATTACTAGACCATTAAATGGATGATAGACCTGATGAAAATTTAATAATTTGGGATTATCCACTTATCAACTAGAGGACATAGATGCCTCCAACATTATCTATCTCAATACCTTATTCTAGATAGTCTTATGAAAAAGAAGAGAAGATCTTTGCTACCTAAGGAATTCCATCACTATTTAAAACTGTAAAGACATTATTAAAGCCTACTGTCTGGAAATTTACTACTATTATCGAGCCCTTAATACTCAAAGAAAAGATTCTTGCTATCTCATCTTAAGAACTTAAAGCATTTTATCATTGATAAAATCTTAGCCACAGTAGTCTATGTTAACTGTTTGAATTAAAGTAATAGCCAACGAATGGACTAAATGTAGTTTATAATGAATTCTGCTGTTACCCTGCAAATACTATACTCCCAGTAGTCTCATCTATTTTAAAAGTATTAATATGGGTAGACTGCTATGCTAATGTTGCAGTTATGTGGATTGGAAATTATCGAGAATTAAAGCAAGATTCTAATCAGCTGATCTAAAACAATACGAATTATAATAGTAGCAAGATTGTAGTAATCGCTTTTGGTTTTGATAAGCTAGATATATTGGCTAGATGTATATTCATTAATGTTGTTTGAGAGTTTAATTATAACTTTATATTTCTTTAGTTAATGGATTTCTATCAATTAATACAAAAACTGTCAATTTACTTTAATTCTATCAAATGGGGTTTTGGGGTTTTGGGGTTTTGGGG